GAGCAAGAAAAGCAAAGCAGGATAAACAGACTTAATTCAAGAGTGCTGGATGAGCGAGAAAAACTTTTGAAGATTTAGTAACAGAGAAAAAAGTATCCCGTCTTTTACAGATTTATCTGAGTTACGTTTTGCAAGAGGAGAAAATTGACAGAGCTGTGGGTCACTGAACCTTTCCATTAGATTTCCTGTATAACATCAACTATTGGTGTCCACTCGTTTAACGCCAAGTAACTTAATTTATAATGAACTGTTGTGCAAATTTGTACTTGCCGTTAATAAAACATTGATGGCAGACGTTCCTTGGTCTTAATTAATTTCCAAATAAAATCGCATAACCTCCTTTTTGTAAAACGAAAAAATTAAACTATAAAATTTGTCTCTGGTGCATAGTTCGCGTCTTCGAGAATTGCAATTTAATTGCAGCGACATAAATAAAAGAGAGAAACGCGTAATAACGACGACGTAGTCGATGACATATTGATAAACGATGTACACATTCATATTCACACCCATTTGTAATAATTGAAAATAACTTTATTACCTGTCTATGTGAGACTTGTTATGCGTAAATTAAAAATTATTTGACACTTTCAGTTATCTATATTTTCCGGCCGTAATCTAAAGTTTCTTGTCACAAACCGGAAATTTTAAATCAATTATTTGGTAGAACCCTAAAAACGGAAGTTACCATGGAAGTCAATTAACCCTTTCGCTCATTCCCTATAAAGTTCGACAGGGAAGCTTATACTAACTAAAATAAACTTTCAACTGCATTCAGTTTGAGTCAGCCATCAAATATCTGTAAAACAATGGGCTGTTTTTAGACTCACTTCCTCTTAGAATAATCCTGTTAAAATAAAATTATAAAATGAGTAATTAGGTTGCGTTAATCAATAAATAAAATATGTAGTATTTTTGATAGATAGTAGTACGGTAAAAAATTATATTTAAAAATAAAGTAAATGATAAAGGATACGCCTCTAGTAGAAAATAAAAACATAATTCACTGGGTGCAAGACTGGGCTATTCAAGTTCTCGCTTCGCCCTCTTAATACTTTATACTAAAACCAAATCAATACTTGGTCATAGTTTTTCTAAATTTTTATTTCCAATTTATGTAACGCTGCGGACCTATATATTTAATATTTCTACAGTAGAAAGCATTTTCTATCCTTAATTAAAACGTAAAAGTTGAAAAGTTAAAAATGAAATAATTATTGTTTTATTTGCCAATAGATACGAGTACATAAAATAAAGTTAATAATATTTATTATTTTGTTGAATCAAACGGCTGCAAATCCAACAATAATAAAATAAAAGAAATTTTACTATTGATTCGTGTATTAATTAACAACCTTCATTTTTAAATGATTTCATGCTTGACTTTACTATAAATAAGTTTATAATATTTTTTGGCGTTCATATAAACTAACCTTTTAAAACTAATCCGTAATGATAAAGTAACATTGACAGTGGCCATTAATTAAAAATGAAACTAATTTAATTCGACTTGTAGATTTAATAATAATTTGAAATAATTTTGACGATTTTTTCATTTTCAAAATAAACCTTAAATTTTTTACTCAGTACAGTGCTTTTATACGAGTAATCAACGCCAACATGTTTCAAAACTTCTTTTATTCTAGAAGTTTTAGTATCAAGATGGTTTCAGTAATCTTGCCCTACACAGATAGCCAAAGCCCAAGGGCATTATCTACTTCTTCGATTTCTAACAAGATGACTGTTTATAGAGTTTCACAAAAGTTGCTCACTGTTTCAGGAAATTCAATTAAACAATGTTCAACTTTACAAATTTTTAACCACAAATAAGGATAAAATCAGTTAATAAAAAAATTGATTATTTCAATTTAACAACTTCTCCTGGCGATTCGTTTATACAGGCGTACAATAAATTATTGGTACAACACAAAATTTGATGATAATCCTTATTTGTTACTGCAACAAAAATTACTTTTTTAATAGATGGGAAAAACGTATCCCCATGTTTAGTAAGAACACAATCATTTATAGGGTTTATTAATGAATATTAAATGTCAATATGGCTAAAATAAAAAAGTACCTATTTTATACAGAGTGGTTCATTATAATACTATAAGCTTGATGACCTACTTTAAATATAACCCAAAATGCAGTATCCACATAATACTAGGTATATTTAAAAGGACATTCTTGTCGGAATGGTCTGATAATGTATGACGTTTTTTCTAGTATCCACAACATAATTATAGGTTGAATTATAGAATCAAATTCCCAGTGATTAATATGTTACTTGGCGGATTTTATAAGAATCGCCCTGTATTTATAAGATAAAATCAACAGATTAATTTTCCAAATGAAAACACGGTAGGACAAATTAATTATCAGACGTTGATACAGCTAAATCCAGCAACCCAAGTTATTTCTTGCCTTAGTCCACTTTATTTATTATGAGCTATAACTCTGAAACCTCCCATTACCACACAAAGTAATTTAGAAAGGATATGTTAGAGGCTGAAAGTTTCAGAAGTGGCTCTTTCAGTACAGCTTTTGTAAAACTTATGTGTCAATCGCTCATTTTATACTATTGTCTTACCAGTGTGTGTTGATGTGTTTACGTATGTTATCTCATTCGTTTCAATTGCACAATCTCTATGTATATATTTCTATATTAGTTTCAGTATAAATGTTTGTGTTATATAAACTATAAGCCGAGTGTTTGATAGAGATTCGATACATACCTTGCTAAAGGCAACGCTAACTCTATTGTCAGTTTGACCCAAAGCTTTTGGTTGTACAGGAAACGTTTGAAAATCAATTGATATTATTTATTCCTTTGTTCAAGTCGAAACACATCCCTTGCTTTTCCCCAAAATAGTTTTGTTGCTACAAAAATTAATTAAAATGGTGCGATTCATTAAAACAAAATTATGGATAAACATTTTAATAAAAAAAAACATGGAAATCACAATCAAATCTGTTTTTCATAAAATTACAAATCTAGGTTTATTCACTAAACAGAGTACAAGTCTCATTGCGGTTTGTTAAAACAATGTTGAATTAGGTTTGCGCTTCGCTTAAAATTTAATAACGTTTGCTAGATTCCGGAAAAATAGCTTAGACGACGGCTCCCGAATTCACGATTGGATTGTTTCTTCCTCTTGCAATCATATACGACATTGCAAAAATAAAAAAAAATAATTCTTTGTTCGTTAAGACTTTTCAATTTCTCATTTCACACAATCGGATCAAATTTTAAAAGTAATATGTACTACAGTTATTATTAAATTGTTATAAAAATTGTAATATTTTAAATATCTTTGATAACGCCTTTAAATAATTTGAATAAAAAAATTAAACCTAACTTTCCACTACAGCGAAACTGATCTTCAAAGTTATGTTCCATCAATCTTAGCCTATGGTACAAGTAATAACATCGGTCTTCTTGTAACATGAAGCAGTTTAGACTACTAAAACACCTTCTTGACGTCAGAGTGTTTACTACTACTCTCTCTAAATAAGACACAAATTTAAATGTAAATTTGTCCAGGGCTCAAAAAAAAATTCCCACGAGTTTTCTGTCCACGGTATTCAAAACATGTTGGGTAGTTGCAACATAATATTGTTGATTTTTAAACTAATCAGAACACCCCAATTAAAACTTTTCGCAACAAGTTTGAATATTTGTATCGTTCGTTATATCACACAGTTACTGAGAAACTTTTCTGCTCGATGTGGGCTGCTCATCATTTCTTCTGGCGAAAAGTTATGTGAGCCAAGTTTGTTACATGAAACGAAGTTACCACTCGATCTTTCGCGGTCTCTAGCGAATTCAACTTATTTGACATTTATGAAGTAGTCCGACTCATTATTTTTTCCTCAACGACGAGAAAATTTCAGAGCATTATATTCAAATGCTTAAGATATTATGTTACAAAAATTTCAAATGCATCGATGTATATACACTATTTACGTACAAAATGTTTTACTGGTCCAAAAAAATTCATGTTGTTAAATGAACTACAATCAAACAAATAGTATATTAAAAAACAAGTTTATAAGGGTTGATTTGGCGCACGAATCCCAAGTTAAAAAACGAGCCGTAAGTGAGTTTTCTTTAGGATGAGTGCGCCAATGCCATTATAAAACGAGTATTTTATGCTATTTTTTCTAATTTGCGCCCCCTTTTTTCTTATTTTAATTAAAAAAATATATTTTTGTCGTCTACAGAATTTTGTGTTAGTTGGTATCGGTTGGTAACACTCGGCGCCCACCTGATTTTTTGAATCATTTCTGCCGCCTGTCATTAAAAATAAAATTTACAAATTATTAGTTATTATTGTTACAACATAATAATAATAAATAAAATATGAGCCAACAGAATTTAGTTTGCACTCCGCCCGATATTCGCGAAATTGTCGAAGCAACAACGCAAAATTTGTTACTTGACAAGTCAGAAGCGGCATACAAAAACTAAATAACCCTAAATACATTAAAGTACAGTGTGCTTTTATAGATAGCCATAAACAACTCCTACTGAGAGACGTTAATAAACGTATTATAAACGCAAATTAGAAAAACATTATTAAGGTTACTTGAAACAGAAGAGTTTATACATCAAAGAAAATCTTATATTATTAACATATCAAAAGATAAACTCAAAGCAAAACAGATATCTACTCGTTTTTCTTTTCATTTAAAACCTATTTTATTTTACCAGCGTTTTGTTATCATACAGTTATCAATTGAATCACTTTCGTAAGAGAACAGAATCTTTAGATTATCGGATCAAAACAAGTAAAATTAAATCGCTTACACAAACCGCACTAACATCATGAAAAATACATGGTTTGCTATTAGACTTTTTAATACATTTGTTATTTGTAACTTTGAAAACGTTTAAATTAAAAAAAAAGTGTTTGTCAAACATTCATCTTTAAAAAATTTTGGATTATCAATAAATCATAAACCATAAAACCGAATAACAACGTTACTTTACTTACCGACATAGTGTGTTGTAATCAATTGATTTCGGCGAGCGTGTATCTATAATCACAAGTTCGTGTGATTTTAGTTGGAACTGTTCTAATGCAGCGTCTTCAGAACTGACGACAGTCACTTCGAATCCGAGTTTTTCCGCCGCTCTTGTTTGAGTATCTACAACGGCATCTTGTTGGGTAAAAACTAGCAGTAACTGTAAAATCAAACAAAAAATTGTCGATGATAAAAATAGAAGTGTTTAATAATGCTAAACATCATCTCCGAGTATAGACTCAGAAACATATTGGGTATTTGCTTTTCCAAATATGCATTTGGATTATATTTATGTTCGGACGCTAAAACTTCAAAATCATTCGCCTCTATTGTTCGTTCTATAATGCCCTTCATTATCCCCAATTTTAACTAAATCGATCATTAAACACATTTCCATAAACTCGTAAGTCTTGTTGATCGAATAATTTTGTAAACCCTTACCAAACTCTGCAATTTGCTAAAAGGCTACGTTTCACAATGAGCTAACATTAAAAGTGTTATTTTACGATTTAGCAGAAAAATAAATAGGTACCCAATTTAACAACACACGAATGGGGTGCAAAAATCATAAAATACCTTCGAATGTAAACAATCAATAGTGACTGTTATTACAAACAGATTTGCGATAATCACTTTTGAATGAGACTCAAATTGGCATTTCGAGCTTGCTATTGCACCAATAACAATACCTAATTGTAAATCGAAAAAAGCTTAGATTTTTGCAAGTTTTTTTATTATTGAGGATATACATACTTATTTGAAGTGTATTAAAATACCTACTCTTTTCATTTTAAAATAAAGAAATCAAATTAATGTATTATACAATACAGGTGATTCAAAAGTCTTGTAGCATCTCTTGGGTGGTGATACAACTGAGATAAAAGTTCCCATGACAAAAATTGTTTAACTCTTTTTTGACAAAATATAACTTTTTATTAAAGGTTAGATCTTTAGGTTAAAACTTTAGCCATTCAGATTATGGACTCTTGAAGACTTGGAGACTACAGATCTTGCAACATTAAAAAGATACCTATTGAAAAAGTCACCAATTAGTGTCTTATAGTGTACGAAACATTTAACAAATGAGCATATTCTACAATAAATTAAATCCGACAACATTGGAAACGGTGTCTACATGATAATATGGAAATTATTAGTTCTGTTTTCTCAGAAACCAGTTTGAAAAATACCTGCATTCATTTTTATGCTTAAAGAAATGTGTTATCGACAATTGGTCCAACACTTTTAAATCACCAAAATACCCTGTAATCCTGTATCTTAACTAAAAATTTAATCCAAACTACCAGTAATATGTTGCAAATTATATAATTTTTGACTGTCATAGAATTAAAAAAATAACAAAATTAGAAATATACAGGGTGTTTACAGTCTTGGAGTTGAAAATTGACCTGGTAATAGAAGAGTACAGAAATACTGTGACCGAGAAAAAAACTCACACAATTGTTATTATCAAGAATGTTATTTAAATCCAAGATATTGGTACACGGTTTGAGGGTCACTGGAATTATTTCTTTGTTCAGATAAAATTGTATTGTTGCAACAGATAAAAAAATCGTATCCATGACAATGAAAGAGAAAAGTCACTTCATAGTTTTGACACTGTCATCATTTGATTTGCTTTTGCTTTCGTTTTTATCAAAATTCGAAGATCTTCTGTTTAATATCTTTCAGCGAATGGTTTCCAATATGTTTGATTCGTTTTTCTTAATTTTTCTCCAAATTTATAAACATGTATGGCAAAATATTAAAATAATAAATTGGTTGTCGTGATTATGATTTATGGTGAAACACAACGTAATGATACTAATGGCCATTGTTGCAGCCGAAGCAGCAGTTCTCAAACAAATAGTGTAAAATGAATAATTTCCTTTAACAACGTGAATTTTTGTTTTATGTAGCGTATTAGTTTTCTTCTACCGTGAATATCATCTCATTTAAATTTCAACCTCAAGACTGTAAACACCCTGTATAGAGGATGTTCCGTTTTTATTGTTACAAATTCAAGCAGGTGATAGAATATTTAATTTTAAGATAAAAGTTTCCTATGAACATGTATCGAAAAATATTAAACAAGGAAACTACATCCCCTGAAAAGGGTACCATCCTTTAATGGATTTTTTCCAATATTTCAGCAACCATTGTAGATAAAATTACAAAATTTGGTGCAACTGATAACCTTTACACAACAACAAAATTCAAACGAATTCAAAAATAAAATGTTAAATTTTGTACTCAGGGGCGTCCTAAACTGGGGGGGTTTATATTAAAAGTACCCTAATTATTTGGGCTGTTGGTTCTTGCCTCTTTCAGCCACTAAATTCTAAATTTTCGATACAACTACCGTTTTTGAGTAAAATCAGTTTACAATTTGTCTTACAGACAATAAAGAGGATAAACATAAAAAAATAAATTTGTTTCACCGTTTAAGACGCCCGTGACTTAACATTTCGAAACTGATCTTTGAATTCGTTCAGGGGTTTAAAAGTTATCGGCTGTATCAACTTTTGTAATTTTATCTATTCTGCTATAGAGGGAAAACCCAATTAAAAAACGCATTTCTCTCAGGGGGTGTAACTCGCTTACGTAACACTTTTTGATATATGTTCATAGGAAACTTTTGTCTTATCACCTGTTTAAATTTGTAACAATAAAAACGGAACAACCTGTATACTTGTAAATTAAAATTGTAATCATTTGTTCTGTCGAATGACTCGAATGCATTCAGTAACTTCTAATAATACGTTTCTTTCCTTTAAAAATAAATAAATACTTGCCTTTGGAGGTGTTCTAGTCGGCGGCAACAAAAAACCGTATTTGATTTCCTGAGGTCCTCTCTGAAACAAATACAAACACTGAATTATTTTGTATATTGTAAATATATTGTAAATATGTATGTAATTATATATTTACGGGTCGGTTTATAGAAAGTAAGTTAACTTGTATACTTTGTATATAAAGTCAAATTAATCTCGAATCAAAATTTAATTGCAATTAAAAATGTTATTTAAATCAGTTCTAAAATATTTATAAAACGCGACATAAAATTTATATGAATGTCCCAGAAATAACTGAAAACTACATACAGTATGTCCCCGAATTGGGTTTACAAGAGGAAACAATTTTTTATCTTCGATTTTACGCCAAAACTGCAAAGGAAAAACATTTTTTGCTTCACCTGAGACGAGCAAATCTGTACGTAAAGTAGATTTCATTGAAATTGGCATAATAGGTGGCTATGGAATTTCCTATTTAAGTTTGTAGCCCTGCGCATGTCCCTGATATAATAGCTACTGGGGTTTTTGTTTTTCTTTGATTACTTACCTACATGGTTTATTGAACTGACATGACTGACATTTGTATTCGTTTTTTCACTGTTTTCGTTGCTTGTTCGTTATTCCCACTATTTTTTCAAATTATAATCAAAAGTAGTTCTCTTCAGAACCCCAGATTTAAGGTACACGCTAAGGTATGTTTGAAAATATAATCAATTTCTTTTTGTTGTTCCTGTTTTAGGCATTTTAGGTGGAATGGAATCAAATATACCAATTTGAATTTGAATTTATCCACGGCAAAACACGATTTTTCAAGCTTCGGTACGGGAGGCTTCATTTTGTACAGATTTCCACTCCGATCGCAACAACTTTACCATTGTTTAAAAATTCACAATTTTGTCCTACATTTCTAATGAAAAAATCCAAACCCCTTTTGGCTGCAACTTTCACGGAAAACAAATTGTGTTTCTTCTCCGGTGTGAATGAAACGTATTTTGAAATTTCAAGAAGCCATTTGTTATCAACGAAAGTCTATATTTTCTCCAAAGCAAATAGTGTATGTTTTTGGTGTCAAAACTACACCTACAAAGGGATGAAACTTTTTATGGAGAAAAACTCTCTCTGAAAACCTTTGAAAGAGGGTTCTTTAAAAATAAAATTTTAACCATCTTAACCTCACTTTTTTTAGTGACAAATTTAGTTCCTTAATTGTAAAGCCTTTTTCACATTTAAAGCGCAGTTTACACAATCAGCCTACTGTTATGCCAATTTAAATGAAATGGATTATAGTAAAACTTCATTATTCTGATTCAGTGAAAAGAAAAGTTAATTTTTCTCTTCATTTTGGACTTGGAATAATTTTTCTCTGCTATCCTATCACATTGACGGTTTTATTTACCTGACAAGTATATGTCACTTTGACAATTAATTTATTACTTAAATAATGATAGTTCTTGTTAAAAATGCTTTGGTTTTTATCTTAAAGCTGTTTCGTTGAGTTGCTATTTAATTATGTTTTTCACAAACATGTTATTTAACTTGCGTAAACTCATTTGTCAAAATAATAAAACCGCCAATGTGATATAGGACTTAAAAAGCAGAGAAAAATTATTTTATTCTTCGACACTGTCAAAATTTACGGTTTTTCACCCGTGTAAGGAAGTTTTGACAACTGTTTGGCATTTCTCAATACAAAACGTCAAATTATTTTTAACAGATTTAAAGCAAGTTTAAGCCTTGTTGACTCTAATTCGAAGAATAAAACATTGTATTCCACTCGTATGAGTGTAAATCGGACGCTTTATTCCACCTCGTGGATGGTAAACCACTCGTTACACTCGTGGTTTAAATCCACTCGGTCAAATAAAGAGTCCGATTTACACTCAAACTCGTCGAATAAATAACTATTAAGTCCAAAATCAAGATAAAACTGGACTTTTCTTTCTACTGAGTTAGAATAATGAAGTTTTAATTACAGATTTACTGGTTTCAAGTAAAGCAATTTTTTTTTTCTTTTGAAGTTTTGGCGTAAAATCAAAGATACAATTTTTTTTCCTCTTGTAAACCCAATCCGGGGACATACTGTATAATCCATTCGGTTATTTTTTTTCGAATAAAGAGTAGCTGTGATTTGTTTTTTGTTTGCAAGTTGGACACACTGTATGAAGAAAATTTGGTTTCTTGTTAGTGTCATAAAATCAGAACCATGTTGTCCAATTTATATTTTTTGAAGTTGAAAGAATTAATTTTTTATAAAAAAGTTATTAAAAAAAATGTAAAAGTGGTAAAGAATCATATTAAAAGATGAAATTATTAATGAGAGAACAAGCCAAAATTTAAAATTGTATCGCCTTTTAAACAATGACAGTTAATGGCAATAATGACGATAATTTCAGACTTGGAAAGTTCTTTACCTTTTTGCACTAAATATCTGTTAGAGGTCTGCCAGTTCGTTGATTTCTCCCATTGTTACAACCTAGTTTATTGTTTATTTATTTTATTGTATTTTGGTCCTATTCTTATTTTAAACGAACCAATCATATCATTGCATTATATTTTTGAATGAACCCAAAAATCTAAAGTGATTGTTTTTTAAATTATTACAATGGCCGGACTTTAAACGACCAGTCACAAAGCTTACAACTTTTACAACAACAGTTCTTACGTCTTAAATCATCTATTCAGTTCATTATTGAATTTTTGAATCTAATTAATTTACAAATAGAGTGCGATATTTGCCAGCGAATATCTCAAAAACTAATTAAAATACAAAAAACCCGAAAAAAATTTCTTGTAAAAAAATTTAAGCTCTAATTATGACATAACCATTTTCTTCGTAACACGCACCGATTTCGGGATGTAAGTTAAAACGCATACTTCTTGGGGGCCCAGAGGGACACATGAGTTCTCCAAGAACACAAAGCTTTTAGTATATTTTTCTCCAAACTTACTGAAATGCAGCCCTGAAGTCAAAAATTCTATTCCCGACCATGCATTCTACAACTTGTTTGTTGACTAGATTTGTTATTTAAATTTCATCTTTAGAAGTAATTACTAGTCACTTTTTCAATAAACCACAAATAAAAATTAAAAAATTTAAACATAATTATTCTAGTCGTTTTATCTTCTAATTTGTATATACCAAATTGAGTGCGGATTAATTTAGACGTCACAACGGCTCTACTTAATGGTAGTTGTAAATATTGAAGGGTCTAGAGAAAAAACGAAGAAGGTTCAACGGTATCTGTTTAGGTGTTCGTTGAGTGCGGATGTCTTTTACTGAACATTGCTGTGTCTCTTTCGGGACTTTTAGAGAAATTTTTTGGTGTTATGGGGACTTCGAAAATTTTTGTCATTCAAAAAAAATCATCCTGGAGCATCCGGGAATTATTTTATTTTCTATAGTTTGCAACTAATTTTTCCCAACTGAAGAAAAGTTGTGATTGAGTCGGGACATCATAACTACAAGTTGAAAGAGAGAAAACGTAGTGTAGGTAGCATAAGCAGTAAAAGGTCGAGAGTTGAAGACGATAGCGATGAAAAGGATGACGATTTTTTACAAATTAAAGAAATTAAGAAGAATTTGAAGAGAGCCCTCTTCAATGAAACGAATAAATGTAAGAAGGAAACCACATATCAGATATTGGCAAAATTTGAAAACCTTGAACAAGTTACCATGACACTAATGAATGAAAATATGCAAGGGCGTGTTAAGGAGCTGAAAAATAATAGCCCATAATAGGCGAAATTGAAGTTAAAGTTGGAACAGACGTTAAAATAACTAAGCCAATGCCGAAAAGTTACGCAATCGTGGTCAAAGGTAAAAGTGATGAAGAAGACGCCCTTAAAATCAAATAAAAATTATCTGATGCCAAAGTACACGCGGTCAGACAGTCGAGGGCAGGTGGGTTAATTATAGAGACCAGAACTGCAAAGAATTTGAATAAAGAAAAACAACAGATTACGGAGCAAAAACAAGATTGGAGGACTGGCCAATGGAAGACGCTAAAAGGAGAGCACCTACACTAATGTTACGTATATATGATGTATCCGTTAGTTTTGATAACGATGATTTCATAAATAAAAATTTATAACATGAACTTGTCAAAAATTACGAAAAAGGAATTTGTCAAAGGGGTAAGGCCAATAAGTAAATGGAATTCTAAGAAAAAAAAGGATTGGAAGAAAATACTAATTTCGGTATCGGAACGAATTTACGGATGGGTATTGGAAGAAGGTAGAGTATATGTTGGGTGGCCTAGCCTCAAAGCAAAAGGATGGTTTAGTATTTTAAGATGTTTCAGATGTTATGAATTCGGGCATAGTATCCAGAATTGTGAGGCTCGTAAGACAGTGTGCAAAAAGTGTAGTGAAGGAATTTAAAAAGACTATCGAGATTGACAGAAGCTGCAAAAAAGTAGGAAAGAATTTGGACACTCGGTGTCGGTCAACTGTCCTGAGTCCTTGAAGAGGCACACTCTGGATAGCTAAGATAAGATTAGAAATCCAGTAATGTTGCTTGCACAATTAAACTGGTAAAGGAGTTATAATATATGTGTGATTTTGGAGTGTAGGAAAAAAAAAGAGGTAGGGAAAAGGAAACCAAGGGTAAAATCCTTGAAAATTTCATGACATTAGAGAAGTTTGGTGTGGTAAACCAACTCAACGAAATGTTTACGTTTAGTGGTCCGAGAGGAGAGTCAGACGTTGACGTCACAATTGCCAATAAAAAGTGGATAGACTTGTATGTTACGAATTCGGAAGAGAAACAGCAGAAGGGGTGTAGCAATCATAACCACGCCAAAAAGATTAATACAAAAGAGTCCTGGCTCATTATAAAAAACGAATTAAAACGTTAAGTTCCAAAAATAGCAAGAGCTAGTGAGTACAATTGGCGCCACCGACCAGTGGTGGGAGTTTATAAAATATGTGGAGGGGGATTAAAGAACATGATCAAATAGGGCGGAATTGCGACTAAGCCCTAGAGAGACATTGTTGCGATGAGCCATGGACGAAGAATGGGAAGTAAATGCGAGTGTTGGGAGAATAAACGAGAAAAAAAC